GCCTTCAGTCTCTCTTTCCTCTAGAGCTGATCTCCTGTGGGGCATACCCTCTGCCCTTGTACCAGCAGTGCCAAAAATCCAGTACAGAGGACAGAAGATCTAAGTTAGAGAGACTTGCAAAGAGGTTCAGGACAAGACTGTTATTTTAAGAGGGTTTTACTCTAACCAGATAACAGCTTAAGGTTTTCCCTTCATTTCAGGGAAAATAAGCTGATTCTTCTGGCCTACTTTAGCAGTCTCTCTCTACCACCCTTGTAGCTACAGGCATTAATACCACTGATATGCAGGCCCTAGTAGAAGATGGAGCCTTGGAACCCTGACACTTTGATTAAAGACTTAAGCCCTGAGAGAGTATCAGTGGGCAACAGCTGTTTTAAGGGAAGGGGACAGAAATGAACAGTGACTCATTCTTTGGAGGGGAGGAGGAGAAATGAGTGTACATGCAAGTGCCTTTTTCAACTTCTTGTCTCAAATGACAGTTTTTCTTCAAGTGCTTTTTAGGTCAGCCCTTTGTAGGGCCCTGATGCTTGAGAGTCAGTAGCTGTAAATGTTTGCCTCCTGATGGGTCAAGCTTGTCTACTACCGTATCAGACTGGACACATTCAAGAATCCTGGGGAACATTGACTGTGACTTTATTCCTCCCTGTAACCCTGTAACCATCATGGTGATTAGATGGCTCATCTCCTGCTTCGAAGACTTTCCTCACTGCATGTCACAAATGCTTTTGGGAGAATCTCAACAGGAACTGTATTCTATATATGTGCTTTGTAAATGATTATAGAAGTTAAAAATGGCAAAGGCTCTTGCCTGTGGCAAATGTTGCAGAAAACTAGTCTCTCTAGAATGGAGGTTGCAGCTAGATTCCATGATAGCACTCCTGTAACATTTACTTACAAAATAACTTGTTAGGGAAATTGCCTGATTTTCTATGAAGAAAAAAGAGAAGGCAAGGCAAGGCTTGAATAATTTCTCCAAACATCATTTTGTCCTCTGAGTTCCTGAACATTAAATGTAGACTCTTCTGCATTGCTTGTGTCCATTTATAGTTCGATTATAATGGGAGCTATTGAAGGTTAAGCACTTTTGAAAACCAGACCTTTTAATTTAAGTACCTAACTATGAATTTTGGAGTCCACCTTTAGGCATGCATTTTTTAAATCTTGCGCCTTTTTAATACTTTTTACGAAGACTCGTAGTTACAGTAGACTGTACCCTGCATGTGTGTTGTTAAAAGTTACTGAGGATGATGATTATCTCATTAAATGTTTGAACAAAGAAGAGTTTATTGGGGGCATTATTTGTTAACTTCTTAAATGTATTAATTTGGTGAACTATCCATTACATTTTTTTTAAACTTATCTTCATTTACCTGTATGGGAAGAAAAATGAGAACTACTTTATTTCAAAATTATAATGATAATAATAAAAACCTCTAAGTGGCTGTGGTTACTGTATATCACTTCATTTTCAACTATCAGCCCATATTACAAGTATCAAGCTAAGAGAAATGGCCAAATGAGTTCACATACAAAAATTAAAAGATCACCAACTCCCCCAAAACTTTCATTTCTAGAACTGGGCCTTTTTGAAATCTAGCATTTTTTGTCATAATTTTCCACAAGACTCTGCATATCTGTCTTATGACTGAGATTAGAACCAAAGTGCCAAAGTAACTCAATAGTTTTCAACACAATACCATGCAATAAAACATCCCTCCAATACTAGTCTTTTTTGTGCTTTTCCAGGCTGAATAAGAGGAGATGCTGGCAGTCTTTGGATGGCAGTCTTCCATCCAAATGACTGGGGATGACCTAGAGGGGTCAAAAATGCAGGGATGAGCTAGAAAGGTCAAAAAATGAAGAGATAAATTGTCAGCGTCAGATTCACTCTATGAAAGGGCACATGCCTTTGAAAGGCTACTTGTATGAGGTTAATGGGTCAGTTTTGCAGACTCAAAGGTCCTGATCATTCTCTCATCACCATCTTACGACTCTGTAAACTCACTGACTCCAGTGACTGACTTATATTGGAGTAACTGAAATCAGAAGCCATCCCAAGTGGTTCAGGATGCTTAGTATAAGCACCGCAACTTTCAGATATTTATTTAAATGGAATGCGTTTGGTATTTGTCCATTGTTACCTATTTGCCACTAGAGGATATTTGGTTAGAATATTGATGACATTCTTCATCTTGTTTTTATCAATCTCTGTATTTATTGCCTTGCTAGGGTGATCCAGGTTTGCCTGGTGCGGTTGGAGAAAGGGGAACGCCTGGACTTAAGGTTAGTATACAAAACCGGTTAAAATTAAAGCACAGAAGCACAACTGAATGGCTCTGTCATGCCTTCGCTTGGCTTATTTCATGATTTTTCTTCAATGATCTTCCTACATACAGTGATCAGTGCTGTAAAGTTTTCCATATTTCACTATAAAGAAGTATATTTTTCCATGGCATGCATACAATTCCAGCCAGTATCACTGATACATGGATATGCACTGCAAGCCATATGTTCAAGTGTTTGGAAATTTGGAGCTCTTTTCCTAGACCTTTATTTATGCTCCTGACATGTATTTCAGACTTTTTTTTCAAGGACCACTGTGCTCAATTATTTGATAAACTTCAAGGTTAAAATGTGTGATCTGATCCTGCTCTTTTAGAAGTTAGCAGAAAACTCCAGCGAAGGAAGGTTGGGCCACTAGTCATTATAGCAAAAACAAGCATATTTTTTTAAACAACTTTTTTCTGTGTGTGCAACATGTTTGGATTTGTGGCCTGTCAGAAAGGGTAACACCAGGGTCTAATCCATTCATCTGTATGAGAGTATCTGTGGGTGCTCACTCAGCTGCTTTTACCATCACACTGGCAGTGACAGACAGCCGGGGCAGACTTTAGAATTTGTTGTGTTGCTTCCTGTCCATCAGGAAAAAGAACAAGCCATGTGGGGGTATAGCCTTTTCTCACTTTATCCACTGTGAAAGCCAAATGATGGCAGTTAATGTTTAATTCGTATTCACAGCAGTATTCATGGAGTTGCCTAGCGACCATCTGCCATCCAAAGGGATGGGGATAAGCTAGAGTGGTCGAAAATGCAACGATGAGTTGTCAGGGTCAGATTCAGCATATGAATATATATAGGCCTTTGAACTATCCTCTTGAGCCCATTGTAATTTTTAAAAGTACTGGCTATAAACTGTCCTTTTATTTTGCACTTTGGGAACACTGAAGGCTTTTTTACTCTGTCCTACATTATGAATCTGGTCAAGGTGCTTAAAAGGTTTTCCTTTCTTCACAATTGTGAAGATCCGCTGTTCACCCTCAAGAATTCTCATTTATTTTTTCCCTCTCCTTCAGCAAGGACGAGAGCTGTGTACATTTTCTTTTGGTTTCTCTTTATCCTGATGATTTTCTTTATAGAGACATGACCGTGATTTTTACCTTCTGTGTAAGCCAGAGTAAGAAACCAAGATGAGTCATACACACAAAATTACCAGTCTTTTAACTGCGGATGGCACTGCAAGTACAATGTTGGGTAGCTCATCAGAATTTTATTTTGAATCATTCATGACATGACTTCTTCTCTGGAATAATCCATAGTATTAAATAAAATACAGCTGCTCTACAGTGCCTTGTATTGAATATGTTGTCTGATGTCTCATGACCCTTCTGTTTAGCCATGTAATGACTCACTCTGAACATTGGCTATGTTAATAAAATCAAGATTTCTTTCTTCTGACTCCTTTGATCAGGGGGATCCAGGAGAACGCGGAGAAAAGGTGAGGCATATTTCACTTTCCCTGTGTTTGTCTTGTTTTGAAGAATTATCCTCACTGCTGATGCTGATCTGTCAGTGACCATCTGCTGACCATGTCGGAAGTTAGTAACTAGAATTAAGTCACTAAACTCTCAAGACTGTGGACCCCATTACACAATCCTGACTCATACAAAGTAGCATCTGCTTAAGCAAGTAATTCTGTTGAATCCAATGAGACTGCATATTTTCTACATGTTTGCTAACACATGCAAGGAGTGTGGAGTTAAGCTTTGTCTCTACAAACAATATTGAAAGAAGATGTACCTATTATGAATACATGGAAAATCAACTCTTTTCATAATTTGTCTTGGGATTCTGCTTGTCTGCAAATAGTCATTCATTACAGAAATGTCAGACTGCATGGTGATACCTGTCTAGATTTCTGATGATAGATGCCCAGTTCTCAGAGGGGCAGAGGCAGGTAGTTCTCTGCTGCTTAGCACCATATTATTGTGTGGGTCACGTTAGGTATGGCTGAGAGAATCTGATTCTCTTCTCACTTGCAAGGGGAGTCAGTGAGGAGAGAACTTCAGTGGTCGTCCTCATGTGAAAAAGTGCTTCTTAACATGAGTAAGGTTTGTACTTGAAGCAACGTAATGTGTGGAGCTAATCAAGGAGAAAGATACTTCCTAATGTGAGAAAGAGATGCATAGTTTGATCTTCTGTGGATAGAAAGAGCCATGGTTTCAAAATGGTGGCCACACTTTGTGGGGAGCCATTTGCTTGTCAGAAGTTTTCACTCATGTTTTGCATCTGCAATTGAATTACAGCTCCAGATCTGCATAAGTCTATCTGATTGTAGATGTAAATAGAGCTTGTACCCACAATTCATTTTCTGTGTACTCAGAATCACAGATGGAAATCATGCTTGCAAATTGGGAAGACACATATAGAGTACTTTTGAAAACTTACCCCAAAATGTAAACATCACAATCAGCACTTTTTTCCTATCTGATTGTCACTTCAGTTAAATTTCAATTATGATCACGCAGTTAGTCCAGTAAAAGATATCACCCTAAGAAATGCTTGACTCTCTTTAGATTTCAAGACGTGAAAAATTTCAGTAATTATGTATTTGTTTATTTGGCGCACAGATTAATACCTGTCATGTATTGTACTTCCATTATTTTTGCCCATTATATTTCATCATTATTGGACGTCATGTATTGTACATCCATTATTTTTGCCCGTTATATTTCATCATGATCATGTCTTAGTTTTCTTAAAAAGTGCCATGATAAAACCAGTGCCTAAGCCATGATGTAAAGTGTTTAATATACCTGGAAAGATTTTCCATTTCAGCTCTGGGGGGTATTTTTGTGCTTCACCAGGTCTTTAATTAAAATTTTGCTAGATATAATTACCCACTATGATTATGTTTAGGGTGTATGGACTAGCCTGTCTATTATAATGAAGCTGTCTGGCTAAGTGGAATTTTATATCAAATTTGGGGTGGACTATTAAATGAAAACTTTCTCTCAGAAAGATTAGATGTTTTGCTAACTTAAGGGGACCATCCCAATATAACATCCCATTTATTATGCAGATTTATTAGACTGCCTTGAGGAGTTATAGCCATTTTATGAGTGGGGAGCAATTGATTTGCCTTGAATGTCTAGACATCTCAAACAGCTGTAACCCTGTATTCCTATTCTCCTGCCACTAGATTTTAGTAACTGCCATAAAAGTCAGTGATTCAAAATCAGACTACAAAAAAGTGCTCTTAGGGGAACACTAGGAGCCCAATTCTTGGCTGCTACAGACCTCATGGGGAGGGTTGGGGGCCCAGTCCATCCCCTGTGAATAAAATTTAGTGCAATCTCACAGCTGCCAAAAACAAAACCTGGCTGCATTTCCTTAAAGGTCTATTTTGGATTGTCAGATCACACAGTGACCATACGTATTTTGACCCTCTTACAATTTCCTCATTCTGGGGCAATGAGGCAAGTAGCTGAGAGCCAGTAGCATAATGAAGGGGAAGCAACCAGGGCATCAGCTCTGGGTACTGACCTTGAGGGTGGAGCACAAAAATGGCATCAGCTGTGCTGCCGGCTAGGCCACCACCGTGCCCGCAGTGCCACAGCTGGTGATGCTGCCATGTACACTGCTACCACCCAGAGCTTTCAGGCATCCAATTATGCCTCTACCTCTAGCCATTCCTGAAGTAACTCCAACCAGGTGTGGAAGCAGGGGAGTGGGAGGGCAGGAACACATGAAAAGTTTAAAAGCAATGAAAATTGCTCAGTGAATACGGTATAAATGAAAGTTATCTATTGCTTGCACAGGATTCTGTGTATTTTGTCATTGCCCACTATTCCACTCTTTGGGCCATTTACAGATAATATTTATCAATGCTTTTTGTATAATGAAAAATATTTAAAAAAAATGATTCTCTCTTGTTTCTTGCTATTCTGTAGAAGTCTTTGAGCCTGGTTCTCATTTACAGTAAGGCCCTTCTCAAGTACTGTTGCTTTAATGCAGATAAATGAGTATAAATAAGGGTCAGCCTCTTTACATATGGGTAATACTTTTAAAGTATCTCTGGGAAGAAAAGATAACTTAAAATAAGGAACTTTTCTGCTAGCTGGGGCTGGGAGTATTAGCTGGACGTCCTCTCTTTTAATAATAAATAGTACTTAGCATTTTCACATAGGCATGGACAGTTTTGGCAGCTCATTCTGTATTTTATTGAAGTTTTGCTAGCTTGTGACTGATTCATGGGGAAATACTTGAAATTCAAAGAGCATATCATGAATCACTTCAAAATCCTAATAAAATATATTGGAAGTTAGTAGCTGCTAACTTTCTTTGATCAGATGGGTCTCAGTCAATGTCTCTCTGGTGAAACACATGTATTGCCTGTTTCTGTGCTGAATCATCATAAAATCAGTTCTTCATTGCTGGGCCAAAATGAACTGGAGAAGTCTGTAGACTAAACTGACAAAAAGATGAAGTGATGTGACAGCTTGTGTTTTCTCAAGGAACTATGAAGGACTTTATAGCTTTGCAAAGTCTTTCCTATCACTGAACACACATAACAATAGTAAAAGTTGTACTTCAGGCAACCCAAATGAAATATATTGTACCATGTTTTCTCCTTCTGTGGATTTTAGTTGCATGAATACTCAATTAGTTTGTAACTTCAAATACCTAAATATGTTTTTAGTCATGATATATACACACCAGCTAATTAATTAAAGCTGTTAGCTTGGCAATGCTGTTTGAGAATTGCTACATGTCTGGATGCTGTCTTCTTGCATAAACATTATTTTTTTTACTTGTAGGGTGATGCTGGAGAAAATGGACCCAAAGGTGCCATGGGTGAAAAGGTAAATTTATTAATGACTAGGGATGAAAGGATGTCCTTAAGAAATGAAAGAGGGATGTGACCAAAAGGAAAATACACAAAGAGCGATTTTATGAAGTTGGGTGATTTTACTTTAACCTGTCCTCACAAATATGAGGAAAAAAATGGTCTCTGAATATATACTAGAATTGTTATAGCATGGAATCCATCAGCAAACTTTATGAAGCTCTATTCTGCAGAAGAATGTGTCATGCAAAAAGTTGGGTCACAAGCTATCAAACTACTGTTGTTCCATCTGGCTGGTAAATGATTCAGGTTTCTAGTACTAAGGTTACAGTTCTAACCATGTACAGCGTACAGCAGCCAGGATGTGCACTGGGGGACTTGTTTTCAAGATTGACATGGGAAGACCGTGCCTGTGACAGTACTTTCATCCCCTTCCTTTCTCCCACACACAATATGCCTCTGTAAAAGTGACAAAGATCCATTTAACCATGCTGCTAAAGAGTTGGGGCAAAAGAGATGTGGCAGGGAACAGGACCTCTGTTCAGAGATGCAGTGTCTCCAGGAGATCTTTTAAGACCTTTTGGGATGCAGGAAATGACAGTTTGGGGGGGGCAGAGCATTGTGTTCCTCAGAGCAGGAAGCCCTTTCCATGATTACATAGGAAAATAAAACTCCACGAGAAGAAGCTGGCCTCCTTTAACATTAGTTTCCAAGGAAGAAGCCAAGAGAGTTATGGTAATCAAAACCCCCAAATGTTTGGAATCGTTATGCTAGGTCATGCCAGCTGATGATCTGGCTCTGTGCCTTTAAGTCAGCTCATTCAGCATGGGTGCATATTGCAGAGGTTTCCAAAGAATGTGTGTTTTATTTATTTATTTATTGGTGTACCCCCTGTGCTGTGATCAGAAAAGGGGAAGTTAAACTGGGCCATCTTCCCCCAAAAGATATACTCTGCTTCAAACAAAAATGAATTCAGAGGAGTTCCAGATCTGTGTTAGACAGGAAATAAGCTGAGTTGGTCATAATGGTCCATTCTGACCTCATGATCTATGAAACTCTAAACCTATATTTTTGTGTTTAATATATATGTGTTTTGTTTCAGCTGCTTGACAGCAATATGCTTCTAACAGGTTTCCTGCTTAATATATCACAATTATAGGACAAAACAAAAACATTTTATTCTGCCCATGTAATTAATTGTATAATGGATTGATTAATAATGAGTTTCCCTTAAGTTTTTGTTTGATAACATATT